AAAGGAAGGAAGGAAGGAAGGAAGGAAGGAAGGAAGGAAGGAAGGAAGGAAAGAGAGACAGAGACAGAGAGAGAGAGAGAAAGGAAGGAAGAAAGACAGACATGTGATATGGACAATGAAATTCTACTCACCCATTAGAAATAATAATATTATATTATTTGTAGGAAAAAGGATGGACCCAGAACTCTGAGACACAAATGGTCCATGTTTTCTCTCACATGAGGAAACTAGATCTAAACCACAACTGGATATGGTAACTTATACAGGGCTGCATGCATTTATACACAAACAGACTAAAGGAGGATACACTTAGGGGAGGGATACAAAGATGTAACTCCTCTGGACATCTAAAATACTACTTATCAAAATGAATTCCAGGAAACCAAACATGTCTTTTTGTTCTTGTTGTTGTTTTTGTTTGTTGTTGTTGTCTTCTTATGGGAGGCAAAGAGGTGTCACAGGATTGGAGGAAGGGTAAACAAATGCAGTCATTGTATTCAATATACATCATGTAAAAAGTAAACTATGCAACTTATGGGCAGGGATGGGAGAAGGAAAATGGAGGAAAGTGAAAAAAAGAGGTGACATTGTCCAAGAAGCATTATACTCATTACCTGACTTATGGAATTACAACCCCTTTATACAACTCCCTAATAATAACAACAATTTAAAGACAGAAAAAAAGAGAGGAAGGGGGAGAGAATTCAGTCATAATAGTTGAAGCATATCCTTGGAAACTAGGAAAACTGAGGAAGTGGATGTGGTGGGAGGGATGAGAAAGGTGTCATTGATCAAGATGCACTATAAATAAACTCATCTGTTGAATGGAAACCCTTGTGTACAACTATTAAAAATACGAATAGTTTTATTAAAAAAGAATTTTTCAGGTTAAGTAGAAATTAGACAGTAGAGGGTAGAAGAATGGAAGGTTGTACTATAATACAATTCCTCTTCAAATACTGCGTTTAGTTGTCTCAATTAAATCACTTTAAATGACTTATTAACATTTGCTTGGTTGGGAGAAAAAAATCCAAGAACATATTTCTCCATAGGACTTCCATTTTGACTTTGGAAATATTTCTCCATCTGAAAATACCACCCAACATTCACATTCTCCATGACCTAACAAAATCATGTTATTTCTATTGTTCTTCTGTATCAGTAATGTCTCTGTGGGAAATGTACATGGATCCATTTTATGACACTCTCCAAAACCTTTCATTGACTTCCTATGTTTAAGCTAGTGTTGGTATCTCTATGTTTCTCTTTTAGCTATAAAGAGAATGCAATGAGGTTATCAAGAATTCACCATGATCAGCCAGTGAAGCCTCTGGATCGAGCTGTCTTCTGGATTGAGTTTGTCATGCGCCACAAAGGAGCCAAACACCTTCGCCCAGCTGTCCATGAGCTCAACTGGTTCCAGTACCACGCTCTGGATGTGATTGGCTTCCTGCTGGCCTGTGTGGCAGCTCTCATCTTCATCTTCATAAAGTGTTGCATGTTTTGTTGCCAGAAGTTAGGTAAAACTGGAAAGAAGAATAAAAGAGAGTAATTGTAGGTAGGTGTGAATTTGAGAGGTCTGATTATAAGATCGCCCAGTTTACTCCAGCAAGAGGAGGTTGAGAGGTCAGATTATTTCTTCCAGGAGCAAAACAGTTTATTACTAGTAAATTATTCCTTATTTAGGAGTTAGAATCATTTCTAGACAGTGGGGAGATACTGAGAAAAACAAATATATAACTATATATGTTATCCTGTTGAAACTCTGCTGTCGTTTGATAACTATTCTAAAATTGATAATTTTAGTTGCAGCTTGCTTGCAAGTTAATTCGTGGACACAAGGTCAAATTCCACCCCCACTTCTAACATCAATATTCTCTGACTACTCAGCTTTCTTTAGCTTCATTTTAGAAATTTGTAGTTGCAATTTTTTGAAGAATATATTCCCTAATTAAAATTGGGTAAAGAGTCACCACTCCATTTAGTTTTGGGAAAACAGTAGTGTCATATGGATTTTACTATATATCTAGTCTCAAAATCATAGGTTGGGAATGTGGCTTAGTGGTAGAGTGCTTGCCTAGCATGCATGAAGTCCTGGGTTCAATTCCTCAGTACCTCATAAACAGAAAAGGCCAGAAGTGATGCTGTGGCTCAAGTGGTAGAGTACTAGCCTTAAGCAAAATAAGCTCAGGAATAGCACCCAGGCCTTGAGTTCACAAGCCCCAACACTAGCCAAAACAAAACAAAACAAAACTGAGGGACAGCATTCAGGACCTGAGTTCAAGGTGCAGGATTGGCACACATAGAAATATAATTTCATTTAGAACTTTATTTAGGTAAACATAGCAAATGGTCAAAACAATGTAAAAGTCTTGATCAAACTAGGATTACACACTCTTGTGAAAATAGTAGCTATTGATTTAGCCAATGGCATAAGTGGTAAATGGTTAGAGTGCTTACTTAGCAAACATGAAGTCTGAGTTCAAGCCCCAGTACTATGAAAACCAAAATATGCTATTGGATTTAACTGGAATAATTTAACTAGTTACAAATCGTATTTGGCTAGAGTTGTAAATTGCCTACTTTATAGTACATACAGTGAAAATGATTCAAAAAGTTTAAGCAAAAACTTTTTTTTAGAAAACTCTGTTAATACTGTTTTCAAAAAGTAATGAAAAAATAAAGGCTACACAAAGCACAATGGAAGGTGTCTCCATCATTTGGCCTGTGAGTAGGTTATCTTCACAGACTTTAATCTTTGTAAAGATTTGCTTCAGGTTCTTCTGCTGTACACCAGACATATCAACATAAATAACCATCTGAGATATTCTCTGAAGAATACTTGAGAAAAAAGTGTTGCAACACATAGTATTGTCATGTGTAGGAAAACAGCATATTCAAAGTGGTTGAAGGAAGTTTATAAAACCAAAAATGATGATTAAGGGGTCAAAATGTGGTGTCCCATGCCTGTAATCTCAGCTACTTAGGAAGCTCATGGTGAAGACTGAAAGTGTGAGACCCAATCTGGAAAAATATAACAAAAAAAGGACTTAAAAATTTTTTTTATCTTATATATATTTATTGTAAAAAAGTTGTATAGAGGAGTTGCAGTTACACAAGTAGGGTAATGAGTACATTTCATGCGAGTATTGTTACCTCCTCCTGTTTTCCCCCTACCATCCCTTCCCCTCCCATATTGTAAAGCTTGTTTTCAACATAGTATCCTGTACATCTCCTTGTCACAATGGTTCGGCCTGCATGCCCATTTAAGTGTTCCCCAATATCCCTTCCCCGCCCCAAATTACAAAAATGTATATACAAGGTGCAGAACACCGGCATCAAATCCAGTGAGAACAGGGGTTATGCTGTGGGGGAAGAATATACGAAAGGAATAAAAGAATCACATAGTGCATTGTAAGTACATTAAAAACACTAGCAAGAAAGAAAAAAATCACTTGTATCCCTGTCTTGGGATACATTTTGCTTAACATCATCTCATGTGGTCATATGTACATAGCCTTTGACCTTCTCTGCTTGTCCTAGACATGTACTAGTCATTGCAAACAAGGGAAACCATAGGACCTATGTTTCTCTGGGCCTGGCTTACTTCATTTAATATAATTTTTTCCAAGGCTTTCCATTTCCTAACAAATGGGGCAATGTCATTCTTTCTGATGGAGGCATAGAATTCCTGTATGTGTGTGTGTATGTATGTATGTATGTATATATATATATATATATATCACATTTTCTTGATCCATTCATCTACTGAGGGGCATCTGGATTGGTTCCATATCTTAGCTATGGTAAATGATGCTGCGATGAACATGGTTGTGATGGTAGCTTTGATATGACCTTGTTTGTGATCATTTGGCAAAAAATGACTTAAGTATGGCTCAAGTAATAGAGCATCTGCCTAACAAGCATAGGACCTTGAGATCAAATTTCATTGCAATAAACTGTTATATATTTATATTTTGGGTTTTTTTGGTTTGGTTTGGTTTTTGGTGCCAGTCCTGGGGCTTGAACTCAGGACCTGGGCACTGTCCCTGATTTTTTTTTTTTTCCTCAGAGTTAGCACTCTACTACTTGAGCCACAGCGCCACTTCTGGGTTTTTCTGCTTATCTGGTACTGAGGAATCAAACCCAGGTCTTAATGCATGCTAGGCAAGCACTCTACCACGAAGCCACATTCCCAGCCCTATATATTTATATACTGTACATGGGTGTACTACATAATATACAAAACAATTCTTGGCAACAAGAAGCATTACTACTAACAAGAATGACAATAGTCATATGACAATAGTTGAACAAAGTTAATGAAGACATCCAGTTACACTAGACTATATGTACCACAATACGGTCTACCTTCTAGTATTATGATCGTTACCATGACATAGTCATAGATGAGAACTCTTCCTGTGTAACCTCATGGCTTTACCATTTTGTTTTGTTTCGTAGGTATTAGGGCTTGAACTTGCCTGGCTTGTTTGCTTGCCCTTGCTGGTTATTTTGGAGACAGAATCTCAAGGACTGATGTGCTTAGACTAGCACTGATGTGGGATCCACCAGATCACAAGCTCCTAATTAGCTAGGATTACAGGAATAAGCCTCAAGCAACCCCATTTTGATATTTTCACAGTGAAATCAAAATTGAAACAAACAATAGTCATGCATTATTTAATAAGGATATTGTCTTGTTAGACCATGTTTTGAAAGCAAAGTGTTCTTCATAAGCCTGGATGTTACCAGTTAGTTACTTAAAATAACATCTTGAACTCTAGATGCACCAGAGGTGTATTACATGGCATACTCATTTGCTTTAAACTTTCAAAATATAACCACAAAAATATACTATTTACATATATATATAGTAAATGCATAATCTAGCAATGAGCTAACCAAAGAGTAGTAAACTTATGTTCTGTATATGTGCTGATTTAATAGACTCGTATTACCACCACCATAAATATATCACAGCATGCAGAAATGGTCAGATAAGTTGATGTTAGGGAAATGAACCCTAAGATATGTTTTCAAATTTTTTTTTTCCTTTCATGCGATTGTTCTAACACATTTATAAGATGATTTCTTTGTTGCTTTGTATGTCCCTCCCCCACAGTATAACCCCTGCTTTCACTGTATTTGATGTTGGTATAATTTGTGGAGAAGGGGAAAAACAAATCGTTTAAATAGGGATAGAGGTGGACCCATTGCAACAATGAGATGTACAAGTCGTTATGTCAAAAACGAACTTTACAACTTTGGTGAGGGGGTCGGGGGGTGAGGGGGTGGGGGAGTGGGGAGGATTGGGTGGGGGGGGCGGGGGGAGGATGGGAAGGGCAAACAAAGGAGGAGGCTACAATGCTTGATAAGAAATGTACTCATTATCTTGCCCCTGTAATTGTAACCCCTCTGTACAGTATTTTCACAATAAAAAAAATAAAAATTAAAAAAAAATTAAAAAAATAAATACTAAAACATTTTGAAATGTCCAAAAAAATTACAGCATTATGCCATGGTAATCTTTAGGTGCTCAGATTTTTCAGCTGTAATGAAATCTTTTGGGATGTTCATTCTCTTATATAGGACATTACAATTTTATAAAGTGATGATGTGATTAAGATCAGTAACACTATCTGAAACAAGCAAGCTTTATATATGTAGCTACAGTAGGACTGCTCAAAGGAAGAAGCTGGTGTGATGGGCTGTCACCCTCGGTGCACATCTGGGCAGGAAGCTAGACCCTATCTAGAAAATAAACCAGAGCAAAAAAAGAAGAGAGAGGTGGTAGAGTACCTGCCTGGGAAGCTCAAGAAATGGCATTCAAATTCCAGTACTCACATAAAAAGTAAGGTGTTTTCTTTAGACTCACCAAATTGGCTATGATTAGGGGTTGAAGCTTGGTTCTACTAAATATTTGTTGAATTGTATATACTAGCCTCTCAGAACTTGTTTCTCAATTTTAGCATATACCGGGATGAGGATAGGTCAGTACATAATAGTACAATAGCATGAGGTACTTATTTCAGAAATGTCCTATCACTTACCAACTTCTCCTTAAAATAGCATTTCTAGTAATTCCTTCAGATCTCAGAAATTCACCATTTAAGACCTTGAAAAAATAGCAGATGTAGTACTAGGTGTGTAGCTTAAATGGCACAATGCTTACCAGACGAGCACCAGGCTCTTAATTCAAACTTCAGTATCACAAACAAAATGGCAGTGACATGACTTGACTTACCATCAGATTAATAGAACCATAGTTTCCTAAAAAGGAGTTAAAAAGGTTTCCTTTATCACACTGCAGATCTGACATGAACCCACTCATTTTTGAAATAAATATTTTGAATACCTTTTTTTTTTTTTGGTCAGTCCTGGGGCTTGAACTCAGGGCCTAGGCCCAGTCCCTGAGCTCTATAGCTCAAGGTTAGTGCTCCTATCACTTGGAGCCACACCACCACTTCTGGTTTTCTGATGCTCTGAATAACAATCTTCAAATCTCAGCCTTCTGAGTAGCTAAGATTACAGATGTGAGCCACCAGTGCTTGGCTTGAACATTGTAT